AGTCTAAGTACTTACCCCCCCAATGTATGTCTACACTGCTTGAGAAAGAACTTGAGAAAGTTCTTCCCTGTATTTACTAACCTAAGTTTATATTCTATACCTGAACAACTTAGCACCCAACACCCAGGCTGTGAGCGGCTTATAGGCAGAATTCAGTGCAACATTACAGAGCCCGACAACCTGGTATACTAATGCTGATGGAATATCAAACAAAACAAATGAACCCTTCGAAAGGACTGCAAATATGACCCAAGATATAATAGTAATAGTAGAAGCGAAAATAACTAAAATGATCCCTAATGCAATATTTTAACGATAACAACGAGAGTAAGATGATAACGAAGAAAGGGAAGTGCCATTGTTGGTCAAAAGACGTTTTGAAGATATCAGTACTGATTTTGATACGAATTATGAAGACTATGTATGAGGAATGAACAATACCTCATCCCTCCTCCCCCTTCTTACCCATCCTAACCCCCCCGGGGGAACCGGTCGGCCGAGCAGACAGCACGCTGGACTTGTGATCCTGTGGTCCTGGGTTCGATCCCAGGCGCCGGCGAGAAACAATGGGCAGAGTTTCTTTCACCCTATGCCCCTGTTACCTAGCAGTAAATAGGTACCTGGGTGTTAGTCAGCTGTCACGGCCTGCTTCCTGGGGGTGAAGGCCTGGTCGAGGACCGGGCCGCGGGGACACTAAAAGCCTCGAAATCATCTCAAGATAACCTCAAGATAACCCCTCTCCTATTCATGCTTAATCATCAAAAATATTAATCGTGTAATCTTTCACGATTCGCAATATATAATTATTATTTAAGTTTCGGACATTAAAGAGAACATCTCTTGACTTTTCAGTGGGCTGAGTTCAGATTAATTTTGTGTCCATAATATGCTTTTTGAGTTTTAATAATACTAAAATCATTTATATAATTGTTTTTCAACTAGTCTAATGAACTACGGGAAAAAGCTTTTGGTCATTAATTTGTTGAGTGGTAATTGATATTTACCTGTATGTGTGCGTTGTGAATGATTGATGTTTATATGTGTGTGTATTGGTACATGTGTGATGTTTAAATGTGAGTATTCACCTAGTTGTGCTTGCGGGGATTGAACTCTGTTCTTTCAGCCCGCCACTCAACTGTCAATTAATCAACTGTTCCTAACTACTAATATATTTTTTTCCACACACACACACACACACACACACAGGAAGCAGCCCGTAACAGCTGTCTAACTCCCAGGTACCTATTTATTGCTAGGTAACAAGGACATC